GGAACATGTACAGAGATATATAGTTGCACAGTACATGGTCCATGCATTGCATGCATATATGAAACCATGCATGTCTCGATCATAAGTACTATGGATGTGTTAAGTTCACGTTAAAATTGTATGTTTGGTTGAAATTGAAACGATGCGATGAAAAAGTTAAAAGTTTAAAGAAAAAATTTAGAACTAAACTCAGCCATACACATATATTCCTACATGTACGTACGTATAGAAGCATGCATGCATCTATCCACTAGTAACAAGCTAGCTAGCACCTGCAGCAAGCATGCATGCTTCATGCTACATCGACCGTGTATGTATACATGCATGTGTCAATGTGTGCATGCATAAAGCAAAACCGGCCGGCAAACGTGCACTGTGTACGATGCATGCATGCATGAATTCCGACCGATGAAATCGTGCAGCGACGACGACGCCCAACAACAAGTGCAGGCAGAAAGAGAGAGAGAGATCGAGCCATATATATGCATGCATGCATTGCAACAGTTGATCACACACTGTTCATTCAATGGAACCATGCATGCATGCATGTTAGTACCTTTCACCCATCGACAAGAAGAGTATATACTACATCATCCTTTTTTTTAATAGATGAAGCTATTAATTTTTTTTATCACACATTTAACAAAAAAATTATTTAACAAAAAAATTTATGTAATTATAACTTATCATACTTTAATTAAGCATGATTTATATTTTATATATTTACATAATTTTTTAAAATAAGACGAATGGTTAAACATGTGTTTAAAAGTCAACAACGCACATCATCTATTAAAAAATAGATAGAGTTTTCTGTCGTGTGTGTGTGTGTTACTGTGCGTACGTGTGCCTAGTGTACGCTGGGTTGCATGCATGCATCAACAGTGAGTTTTGAGTACGTATTGTACACGGATATACATGTATGCATGCGTGCATGGATGTGTGATGGGTCGAACAACGCCTACTACTGCATGTAGTATTATCATATCACGTATATATATCCCGTGAGGCCGCGCCTCCTATTGGTTCCCATGCACGTACGTACTACGTCTCAGCTGCACGACTACTGCACCCATGCATTCGAAACGATTCTCGAGTTGATATTTTGTTTTGTTAATTTACATTTTGCTTAAATGGTTATGAAAAGAATCCAATTACATTGATAAATATGTGATAATAAATTGATCACTCCATAAGCATGCAATTGATAATTTAACTCCTAAAAGCTATTACAAAAGAAATTTAATAAATTTGACTGTGAGTTTATTTTGTTCTTTCTGTTGCAAGCTGTACAAGTCGGGTTTTAACTTATATATTAATATATCTTTTTTTATAACTATTTTGATAACATACAAACAAACGACTGGATTGATGTCTCCTCAAGGGTTTAAAATCTACTTTCTTATAAACTAAAACAATATACAGACAAAATAGGAGTACATAAGAACGATAGAAAAGAAGAAGATACACCAAAACTTGAAATATCGCACGAGATGTGTGGTCAATCATGTATATACACTACTACAAAACATCAAATAGGTGTCGCCACTACATGTGTCGGTAGTGCTAATACCGGCACCTATAAGTCTTTTTCCACCTCCGCGGGTTAAAATCGCAAAAAACCGGCACCTTTAAGTAATTATAGGTGTCGGTTCTAAATAAAAACCGACACCTATTATATATTTTGTGCCGGTTTTTTTAGGAACCTTTAATATTAAAAACTGGCACCTATAAGCCGAGGAGCGGATAAGACCGAGTTGTTGAGCCCCTCTCTCTCGGTCTCATCGCGCACGTGACTCTTGCTTCTCTCTCTCGCTCTTATCCAGTCATTCGTGCCTCTCTCTCTCTCTCTCTCCACAGGCGGCGGGCGGAGCCCTCCCCTCCGCCAGATCTGGCGGGAGGGGAGGCGGCTGCGGTGGCAGTGGGAGGCGGCGGGCGGCTCCCTCCCGGGAGAAGCTCATGTTGTGTCCCCCTTGAAGTTGTTCATGTTGTGTTCTTGTGCTCGGGTGAGGGGGGGGGTTCTTGTGTTCTTGTTTGAACAGGAATGGGGTTGAACGGGAGGGGGGAATTGCTTGCATCGAGCCGGCATTTTTTTTTTTGCATTCCAGACTTCAAAGGTGCCGGTTCTGGAACCCGGCACAGATCAGTTCCGTTATCTGTGGCCTTCGTGGTACCGGTTGGGAAAACCGGCACCTAAGGGGGTTTTCCAACCAGTACCATTTAGGGTTTGTGTAGTAGTGATATAAAGAAGGCGCATACATACGCATCCATCTATATATACAGAAATGTAGTTATTTGTGCAAGGTGTACCATACATGCAGAGCCAGCAGGTAGGTGTAAGTTTGGTTAGCAATAAATCCGTCTCTAGCGGCCGGCAGATATCTAGGAAGAAATAGCGAGAGGGAATAAACTAGACAAAGCTACAGCTCCCTTCCCATGTACATATTGTAAAAAGATTCAGTGGACGAGGCTCCTATAGTTCTCACGCTAGTAGTGAATGCTTGAGCCCCCGCCACGCTCCCATGCATATATGCATTAATATTCAAGCCGGCAAGGGCAGTAAAATCATTGTTGCATGGAATTGACGAGACGACATGGAAGGAGATAGTAGAGGCGCGCAGAGAGAGCATGATTCGCTGCGGAGCGTGCGAGGCGCCGGCGCTCACTTTGAGGCCTCCCTGTCGCCCTCGCCGGCACCCCCCAACCTCGTCGTCGTCGTCTCTCTCACCGGCCCGAACTGCCTCCTGCTACGTGCAGATGAGGCCATGACGACGACGACCCCCATCGATCGAATGGCATGGCATGGCGAGCTAGCTACATGTACAGTCTAGTAGCTACCTAGCTCAGGGCTGCGTCTGCATGCATGCCTGCTCATTTCAACTTTGAACAAGCCAGCCAGCCTCGCATACACACACATGGCTTGCAAAGCAGAGCAACTGGCTGCTGCTGCTGCAGACAGACCCATGCATTCATCTGCAGCTATCTCCATGTGCATCATCTTCATCTCTCCATCCAATTCCATCTTCTCTCTCTCTCTCTCTCTCTAGACACACAGACAGAGATTGTAGATGAGCGAGCATGCAGTAGCTGCAGCAATTCTGAGCTAGCTAGGGAGTGTGTAGCTAGCTTTGGCAGAAGAGAGAGCTAGCCCAGTTCAGAGAGAGAGAGAGAGAGAAAAGCTAGGGAGAAGGCTGTGGCTGGCTGGGTAAAGAAAGGAGGGGAATGGGAGGCCGTGACGAACGCCTAGCTACCTATTTCCAGCTCTCTCTCTCTCTGCCTTCTACTATGTGTGTGTTTGTGTGTGTGTGAAAGATGAGAGAGAGAGAGAGGAGTGAGAAGTCGCCAAGTGAGTGCCACAGCCAAAAGCTGGCTATCTAACTCACGACTTTGGCTTCTTCCATCTCCATTCCATGCATTGTGCACCTCCCTCTCCCATATATTGCCTCTCTTGCATAAATGTGCATCTCTCGATCGCTACTCTCTCACATAGGAGTATATATAACACAAACAAGCATATACTCTATATGAATCCAGCATCTCTCTCTGTGTCTTGCATCTGTATATATATTCACATATGTGTACATATTCCTCAAGACTAGCTAGTAGAATTTGTGAGTTGCATTAGTTGGTGTATATATAGCGCATGCATCAATTTTGCTATTTCTATGTGTTTGCTAAACACACATTTATATATACATATTGCTTCCTTTTATATACCTAGCTAAATTAAGCTATATCATTTTTTTATTATCTTTTTTTACAGAAACAGTATCAATACGATAGAAAAATTTCCGTACCATTTCCATCCCGTGGATCAGAGCTAGAAGATGTAGATATATAGGGATTAGATTGCACCCCCATTGGATTGTGACCCAACATTCTAAAATATGTAAAGAAAAAAAACCATGATCAAAATTTTCTCACTAAAGTCATATGGTCAGTAGTCCCAATCATCAATCATGTATGTATACATGACACACCACATTCTGGTCGAGAGAAAGAGAGGAGATTCTTTTGTTACCACTTACCACTCTTGTCTTGGATCTTGCATATATATGATCTATCAGTATCAGTAGTAGTACTAGTAGTCGTCGTCGACCGAGAGAGCTAGCGAGGTTGCACAAATACGTGCGAAAAGACAAGCTGGAAAAAGGACCCTGTGACTGAAACACCAAAACGGACTGCATGCAGCTAGACACACACACACCCCCGGCCTGCCTCCAGTCGACATGACAAGTCGTCTCCCCCCAGCAAACCACAAAACACAAGCATATTTGTCACTCTCTTCTTCTTCTTCTTCCTTCTTTCCATGCATATATATGCTATGCATATCCACCACATCAACATCTCAATCTCTTTCTCTCTCTCTACATGTATGTACGTACGTTGATCATGTAGCAGTATATACTTGGGAGCGGATTTTAATCCCTCCAGTGGATGTGTCCCTGTATACCTTTTTCTTTCAAGTTCAATGCAAATAGTTATATAAAAAAATATTTTTTTCTAATAGTTATAAAATAGATAAATTTGGGTATATATAGTACCACTACTAATCATACCCGAATTTGTATTTTTTTTATATTTCAATATGTGAGTTGAGTTTGGATCTAAACTTTTTGGAGTCGTATATATATATGTTATATGAACATTGTCATTAATTTTCAAATTTTTTCATAACTACTTGAATGGTTTTTAGACAATTAGGGGACATCCCCTTGAGGGTCTAAAAATAATTTCCCGTCTATACTACTCTATACTCCTTTTATCATAAAATAAACCAACCTATAATGTATGTCATCTTATATACTAGAATGAATTTAGATAATCTAGGTTGGTTTATTTTAAAACGGAGGAAGTATGTGTATGATTCTCTCTCTAATTAAGGTGTAGCCTTTTCGCTGATCTTGGATGTGTCTTTGACAAGGGAATTGAAGGAGAAGCAGGAAGCAAGCGTGGCTAGAGAGAGAGAGAGAGAGAGAGAGAGAGAGCACGAGACACAATGAAACAGTGGTAGAACTTTGGACGCAGATAAAGACCAAACTGACAGGTACAAGAAATGACCATGACACCAAACCGTACACATCTGTCTCCCTCTCTCTCATTCTCTCTCTCTCTCTAACCCTAGCTCTGCTACTCCCTGGCCGTACACCCATGGCTGCCTAGCCTAGCCATCTAGGAGTAGTCTACTACTACTAGTAGCCTATACCTAGCTAGACTGTACGGTCATCTTCCTCCTCCACAACAACAACAACAAACTAACTCGATCCAAAGTAGTAATTAATTAAACACAAAATAATTAAGCTAGACGACGATCATGTCGGCGTCGTCGTGCGCGCTGGTGGCGCGGGAGAGCGAGACGGTGTCGTCGTCGTCGTCGTAGTACTCATCGTCATCGTCATCAGCGCCGGCGCCGCCGCATCCGCCGCCACCGCCGGCGCCGGTGGAGGAAGACTCGACGATGTGGGGGGCGTGGCCGCCGCCGAAGGAGCGGACGTGGTCCTTGAGGGAGCGCTTGTGCTTGAAGTCGGAGCCGCAGACGCAGAACCAGAGCTTGCCGCAGTTCTTCTCGTGGGTGCGCCAGTCGCCGCGCACGGCGAAGCGCTTGCCGCAGCGGCGGCAGGCGTAGGGGCGGGCGCCGTGCTTCCGCCGGTAGTGCGTCTGCAGCGTCCGGAAGTCCTTGAGCGGGCGGGCGCGCGGGTGCTCCACGTTGTTCCGGCACCCCTCCGCGCAGCAGTAGCACGGCAGCCGCATCAGCGACGCCGGCGGCGCCGCCCCGCCCACCGTGATCGCCCCCCTCAGCGACTCCGACCCTTTCCTGTACTGCGACCCATGCCCCCACATGTGCATCTGCATCAAGAATTACATGAGCTCGAGTTGGTCGGCGTCCATGGCGATTGGAGAAGCTAATTGATTACCTGCATGTTGTTGAAGCGGTTGAAGGTCTTGTTGCAGACGGCGCAGGAGAACTGGGTGGAGCCGACGAGGATCTCGGCGGCGGAGGGGATCCAGTACTGGCTGGGAGCCTGCCCGCCGCCCGCCGCCGTGGCCACCGCCGACGACGCCACCGGCTGCTGCGGCAACGGCGAGGTGGCGAAGCTGCCTGCCGCCGCCATCGCCGCCGCGTTGCCGCCGCTGACGCCGCAGGGAGGGGCTATGGACAGCGATATGCTCACGTTGGGCTCCTGCTGCTCCTGGAACAAGAACCCACCTCCGCCTCCGCCGCCGCCATGGTAGTGGCTCGGGTTGAACCATGACGATGCGGCGGCGGCGGCGGCGCCATGGCCACCACCACCACCACCAGAGTGAGCGGCGGCGGAGATGGACGCAGACGAGCACGCCGACGACGAGGCCGCACCATGGTGGTGGTGTTGGTGGTGGTGGCTGCTGTGGCCGGGAGGCCAGAGCGAGAGGAGAAGCATGGACTGGTCGTCCTCCTCGCCGCCGGCGCCGGCGCCGCCGCCGCCATGCTTGGTCGGAGGAGCAACGTGCTGGTGGTGGTGGTGGCTCTGGTACAGGTGAGGGTGCATGGCTCTGTACCTGCTGCTGCTATGCATTCTTCTTGATAATTAATTCCCTCACTCTCACTCTACAATTCTCTCTCTCTAGCTAGCTAGATAGCTTCACTTCTCTTCACTCTCTCTCTCTTCTTTCTCTCTCTAAGATGAGTGAGTGAGAGAGTTTGGAAGGTTGAATGGAAGAGAGAGAGAGAGAGAGAGAGAGAGGGGGGGGGGGAGCAAAACAAGTGTTGGAAGAGGGGAGATGGAGGGGCCTTGCTTGATCTACTCTAGGTGATATGTAATCTACTCTAGGTGATATGTAGTATGTTATGAATGTCTGTGAATGTTGGGTGTCCATGGACATGGTAGAGGGTGGTATATATAGCTAGAGAGAGGAGTGAGAAAATTATATAGGTATAGTTGAATGATTGGTAGGGTGGGGGTATGTAGTGTAGTGTAGTGTAGTGTAGGGGGAGCTTGCACGTGCAATGACATTTTTATGTAGCTACGTACATACCCTAACAATCATGTGGTGGGTTAATGCAAGTTACAAGAATATGTGTTATTTAGTGCGCATTGTTCTACTCCCTCCGTACCAAAATATAAGCATTTTTAGCATAGTACCGAGTCAATCATTTTTAACTTTGACTATTAATAGTAAAAAAAATTAAAAAATTCAATCATGTAAAATTGATGTTATTAGAATTATCATTAATCAAACTATCGTATATGTAACTCTTTTTATTTAAAATATTTTATTTTTATAGATATTGTTGGTTAAAGTAGTATCTCGAAGACTGTGTCGAAGTTCAAGAATGCTTATATTTTAGGACGGAGGAGTACCTTTTTTTTGTGCATTTAAAGGTCTTGTTTGGGGAGCTAAAAATTTTAAGAAGCTGCGGTTTGCTAGTCGGCTTCTAAGAATCTAGAGAAGTTATAAAACCCAGTTTTTGACTGTAGTTCATTTTCTGACAATATAAATTGTTTGGAAGAATTGGAGCTTCTACTAGAGAAAGCTGCAATAGCTAGAAGCTCCCCCCAATAGAGCCAAAGTCTATTTTACCCTTCTTTGAGTCTATAAATCAACCGTTGGCTACAAACCATACATTTTATGTACTCACCTTGAACTTTTAAAACCAGTTCATGCAAATACCCCCCAATTTTAGGGCAACATAATAATGGTATTATTTTTTGTTTTACATTGTACATCTAATATATATTTAACTTACATGGTAACTCTTGTTAATTTGGTGTCAAGTTAACGCAAAATAGATGATTTAGATGCCAAATTTTGTAAAACCATACATATCTGCATTTTATGAAGATATATAAGTTCATGGTGAATGGGGAAGAACCAATTGTCAAAAGATAGTCCAAAATAGATGATTTTTAGGTTGTTTAAGAATGATTAAGGATAAAGGGAAATATTCTCTTTCATTCACCTCATTGATTAAATTTTCAACCTTTTTAATTTCTTGGATTCCCCTATTCATGTGCAATGGAACCAATGTAAAAAAAATACTTACATTGCATATAGAATTTGAATTGTAGGAATGCTTATATTCGGGAACGAATCTAGTATGTGTGCTAAGAACACAAAGGTAGTACATACAGCTATATATATACTAGTTTCGTCTTAAAATATACTCCCTCTGTTCTATAAAATACGAATCTAGAACTGGATGTGACATAATCTAGTATGATGAATCTGTGTGTGTGTATATATATATATATATATATATATATATATATATATATATATATATATATATATATATATGTCCATATTCGTAAATTAGGATGTGTCACATCCGATACTAGGTTGATTTTTTATGGGACGGAGGGAGTACTCCGTCCATATTTTTTTTTGTTTGACGTTGGTTAATCAACGTCATACATTTGTGCAAGGAGGTAGTAGTAATCTAGTACACCGAATTGCACACATTCTAGCTAGTATTACAAATCTAGGCAGATTCTCCGTACTAGGGATATGTCTCATTGGATACTAGATTATTACATTATAAAACCGAAGTACTATATATGCATACGTATACATTGACCAATGCAAGAAGCTTAATTGACACGACAAGATGAGAGAGGGAGAGACCGGTGGTTATATGTACTACGGGGAGTACATAGGACATGGATGGACGAGAGTGTGATGGTCGATAGATGGATCGGATGGATGGACGCTGCTGCTGCTGCGAAAGGGAGATGAGGCCTGTACTGTAGCATGCGATGCGAATGCGATAGAGGGGGGGGGGGGGGGAGCAGAGGCAGCTAGCATCGCAGGAGGTAGGCGTTGGAGGCATTAGGGCAGGGAGGGGACAACGCAACGTTTGCCACGCATACATGCATGGGACCACACACCTAGCTACGCGTCCCTTCGCATGGCAATGGCAATGGCACCGGGTCGGGACCCACCTGCCTGTCCCCCTCTCCTCCCCCGGTCTCGTCCCTCAGCTGGGCCCCACCCTTGCCAGCACGACTCCCGATGACCTATTTCCTTCATCTCATAAAATATGATAGTATTATAAATATGAACAGAAAAATGTATCATATTTTGTATTAGATTTGGTATTTATAGAAGGGAAGAAGTACACGTACTCGTTTAACCGGGACAACAAATGATCTTTTGTCTGGTTCTTATTCGAATCAGGATGGATTATTGTGGTTTTCGGACCACCGAGCAAAAATCATTTCTCCAGTATTGACCTCTCCTCTCTCTACATCATACATGTAGGAGTATGTATATGTATATGTATATGAACTTAAAAAAACAACTACTAGCTACAGAAAAGTTAGTTTCTTAATTAGAATAGAAGTTAGTTTTTTTTATGTGCGACGAAGTGAGTATTTATTACATATGTGAAAATGTCTTTCCAGGGGTACATCCCCTCATTTTTAAAAGGATATAAAAATTGTTAAAAAGATCAATATCAATCTACAAATATGCCAACCCAAATTTAATGTACACTTTGTAAAAATAAAATAGTATGTGTGAAGTGAGAATAGCTAAACTGGTTAATTAGCTTTCTGTCTTCCTGGTGGTAAAACCTGCCCGCACAAGTTCAAGTCATTGACTATCATAATAACCAACTCTTTTTATTTAAAATATTTTATTTTTATAAATATTGTTGATCAAAGTAACATCTCAAAGATTGTGTCAAATTCTAAAAAATACTTATATTTTGGGAGGGAGGGGGAGTAGACACTTGTGGTGACTTCGCAAATCTCCACATATGCTGGTCTAATCTTTGGGTGTGTATACACGTGTTTATATAAGTATGATTATCAATAATATATATATCATATTTCTTATTTGTTCTCTTGTATAGATTAGATTTTTGAACTTCCTTCCATTTCCATTTCCCTGTATGCATATACAGGTACATATGCTTTTCTCTTTCCTTTTTCCATGTTTCGTCATCGACCTTTTTATGAGTTTTCTCTCCCTCTCTCTCTACCCTGTAGTACTGTACACACTCATGTGTCTCACTCCATGCATGTATATATATTCGTACGTACGTACGTTTGCTGCAGTTCAAGAGATACCTACCTAGCTACAGCTAGGAACATGCATGAAAGTACGTACTGACATACTATATACTCCACAACTGTAGATATATACCACGGACAAACACAGAAAGAAAAAAGAGAACACTGGTGGAGAAACCATCTTTCGTCGGTCGGCCGATTTCCACAATAGTCCCAGATGCAATAAAAACCGGGGCTAAAGATGATCTTTAGTCCCGGTTCAAAAGGGTAACGGGCATATTTGATCTTTAGTCCCGGTTTGTGTTACCAACCGGGACTAAAGATCATCTTTAGTCCCGGTTCGAATGCTGTCAGGACCTGTCAGGCCCCCCCGGGATCTTTAGTCCCGGTTGGTAGCACCAACCGGGACTAAAGATCTTAACTTTAGTCCCGGTTGGTAATACCAACCGGGACTAAAGATCCCGGTGATCTTTAGCCCCGGTTGGTGCTACCAACCGAGACTAAAGATCTTAACTTTAGTCCCGGTTGGTAATACCAACCGGGACTAATGATCCCGGTGATCTTTAGCCCCGGTTGGTGCTACCAACCGGGACTAAAGTCCCACCCCTATATATATGTCTTCTTCCTCCTCCAGCTGCCCGAGCAAGCTTCAAAATTTCTTCAAAAAAGAGGGGAGGTCATGCCAAAATTTCTATTGAATTTATTTTGGTGATTACATACAAATCGGAGGTGCCTAAAAGGTTTGCAACTTCATCCTCCAATATTTTTTTTGTCATACTACATTTGCACCTATGTTTTGCACACTTTTTTTTGTCTCCAAAATTTAGTTGTAAGTTGATGAGAGAGAAAATGTGTGTGGGGAAGAAAGAATATATAGAAATTTAGTTCATTTGCTAAACAAGGTTTTATAAAATAGTTGAGAAGGAAAACTCTAGTGAAAGTTAATATTAAATAATAGAAAACAAACTAAAATAAAAATTAAAAGAAGTAAAACACATTAAAATTAGTTTAAAACTTTACAAATAGTTTTTAAGAATTATTTGGTGTAATATTTTATGATTTTTGTATGAATAAAGATATCTTATAATTATTGTATGACTGTCATTATTGTAAGAATAATTATTTGTGTGCGGTTTTTTTGACTCATGTAGATGGATCGGCAATGGATGTACGCTGACCGGCGGTCCAAAGAGGTTATTGACGGCGTGCACTATTTTTTGAGAGTGGCCGAAGCTAACAGGCAAAGGGGTTTTATTTGTTGTCCATGCAATAAGTGTAAGAATCAGAAGGAGTATTCTGCATCCAGGACTATTCATTTCCACTTGTTTGAGTCAGGGTTCATGCCAAGCTATAATTGTTGGACATCCCACGGAGAGCAAGGTGTTGAAATGGAAGAAGATGAAGTGGAAGACGACAATATTCCGGACTTTGCTCAGTATGTTGGATTTGAAGGAAATCAAACGGGCGAGGAGGAAATAGCTGCTGATGGTAACGACGTTACGGATGATCTTGGTCAGATGTTGCAGGACGCCAGGGAAGACTGCGAAAGTGAAAAGGAGGCCCATAAATTGGACAAGATGTTGGAGGACCACAGAACTTCGTTGTACCCAGGTTGCGAGCAGGGGCACAAAAAGTTGGATACCACTCTGGAGTTGTTGCAATGGAAGGCAAAAAATGGGGTTAGTGACAAGGCATTTGGCGATTTATTGAAACTCGTCAAGAACATTCTTCCGGGGGGAAACAAATTGCCCGAGACAACGTACGAGGCTAAGAAGATAGTCTGCCCGTTAGGACTGGAAGTTCATAAGATTCACGCATGTCCGAACGATTGTATCCTAT